ATAAGGAGATGTAAATCCTGGGGATGTGGCATCTCTTACAGAGATCTGATCAGAGATGCGGTATCTCTTGTAGAGATAAAGACTAATATCAGATATGTGTAATATATGAGTAGGGCGAAAATGCTTGTATATATAACATCTCCATGAAGACCTCTGAGATCCTCGATTTCGTGGATCTGTGACACTGCTGCAGTGAAGCCTGTGAGTAACCTGGACTAGAACCAAAATCTTTAATAAAACAATACAACAATATCTTTTCTTTTTCCAGTCTCGTGCATAGTCTTTCGACATTTTTACCTCTCGACATTTTTGTTTTTCGACATTTTCACTTTCGATCAAATTCAGGTTTACCATATATAATAGTGCCTAAGATCTGCTGTAGGTATCATGTATGTGTAAAACAGACTTATTTGTCAATCAATTCAATGATTATAATAATAAGAATGTTAAATTAACAAAAACGAAGAAAAAAAAGAAAAATAATGAGCGAATAGCAACAATATAAAAGAAAAACATAAGGCGCCCGACGAAAAAAATAAAAGATTTCTGTTCCAAATGCAGAAATTCGAGAGGTCTTTACTCTTATGTTCGATTGTCCTGCAAAACAACTGTAGTCTACGAGAGATTTTTCATTTTAGGTATTTTGTATTCGTTTAGTGAGGCTAGAGGATATATGTGAGTTTCACATTTCAGCCCCAAAGGGGCTGCGCTAACAAGTTTTTTTATATCTATGTTTGAGAATCGAAAGGACTTTCCCGTCAATTGCTCTATGTATTATTCAGTTTTCATTATGATCGTAGTCAACCAATAACAATTGCCAAGGGGGAAGTACAGATTTGGCACCTCAGCACCTGCTCAGCACCTCGGCACCTTCTCAGCACCTCAGCACCTGTTCGGCACCTGTGGATGCTGAGGTGCTCATACATATTTGACATTAGACTGGAAATTAAGGTAATAGCTATGAAGAAGACTGCGACTAGGGATGTGAATGTATTGTTATTGTTATTTATAACAGATTAATAACAAATCCTATTAAATGAAGGTATCCTTAGGTCCTTATTTCCTATTATATGGGGTACCCTTAGACCTTCATCTCCTATTATATGGAAGTACCCTTAGGCCCTCATCTCCTATTATATGGCAGTACCCTTAGATCCTCATCTCCTGTTATATGTGAGTACCCTTGGGTCCTCATTTCCTACTATACGAAGGTACTCGCGGGTCCTCATCTCTTACTATATGAGGGTACCCTTTAGCCCTCATCTCCTACTATATGGAAGTACCCTTAGGTCCTCATCTCCTACAATACGAAGGGACCCGCGGGTCCTCATCTCCTATTATATGGAGGTACCTTTAGGTCGTCATATCCTATTATAGACAATTACCCTTGGTCCCCCAGAGCCAGAGCTGTCGCGGGGGGATTCCTCCCTCCTCCCGAATCTTGAGAAATTTTCGTTTTTTCCCAGCAAAGTTGCAGAATTTTATTCGGTTTTTTGCTCACCGATTCTCAAAAAGTCGCTCGTCCCCCCCTCAATCCGGTAAGTTTTAGCGAAAATTTTTCGGTCGACCTTCCGAGTCATCGACCCCCCACCCCTG